TTTTCGATCTGAAATCTTCAAATTTCGTGTCATCAGCTAAAAAGGAAAACTCTTTTTCACTCAGAAACGGTAAAAGAAATTATAATCTAAACTATTTTATTTATTTATATATTTTTATATTTTTGGATTTCAAATGATATCTGAAAAATAAGAATTGTTGAAAAATCTAAATAGGTGCCTATCCTTTCTGGAATCATCATAAATCTTTTTGGTATTCTCTGTGACTTCCAACTCTTCCTCTTTGTTTCATAGGAGACTCACTCATTTAGAAATTCTGACAAATTTTAATAATTTTATTTATAATATAGATTTCTTCCATAAATTTTCATCTGTAAAAAACTTAGATGACTTGAAAAATTTTAGATGACTTGAAACTAGAAATTCACAAATATCACAGCACTTGTCCACTCACGAAACAAAATAAACATATAGTGGATCACTTCCTGCCTCATAATCCATACATGTTGGACAAATAAAATCATGTCCAGTAGATCTAGCTAATTACAAGTAATTCTTAATTTCGAACAATTATTGCAATATGATAGCTTGCAATATGGTACAGTATGGTAGCTTTCGAGCAATATGGTAGCTTGCATTTTTATTTAAACTTTTGTCCAAAATCATACAACAGTAAACTGTATCTTTCTAGAAAATTTTTATACCTACAAAAAAGGTAGAGAAGAAACAAAAGTTGGAAGTCAATAGCATTGATCGTTTAAGTTCCTGACATCTATCAGGCGGTATCCCCTCTTGTGTCAGGCCAGATGACCCCCTCAAGGGTTTGGGAGGGACGGAGACTCCTTCTCAAGTCATGCCGAAACCGGGATGCGGTGGCTGGAAATTGATTTGACTCACAACCCTTTTGAGCTGCTATTTTCTCCTCACGCTGGAAGAAAATAGAACAGCAGACAGGGGTGTTGCAAAAATGGGTGGTAAATATTTTGGAAAAGGGAATCCATTGCGAATGAAAAGACAGCTTTGAGTTTGCAGCTATTTTTGTGTTGGGATAACTTTGAAGAGTCTTTTATAATGTGACTGATTGTTACTATTCTTGCGACTTAAATAAACCAATAACTTTTAGTATTGTCCTTCAGTCGCAGATTTAATCATCTTCATAGACTGATTGCTTGTACTTTCGCAAAAAAAATTAATTAGTTTCATAATTCCTTAACTTTATTAGACTACATGGAGTTGTCTAGTAGGCTACATTAAATTTGATTAATTGTTAATCAAATTTATTTCAAATGCCACACTTTATAGTGTATGGAATCCTGTCGCATAATTAATTATGTTACTTGCAGCATAAAAGAAAATTTAAGCTACTGTCTGTAATGGATTTTTCAATATATGTAATTTATTCAATCCATGAAAGTAAAGCCCTCATTATAAATAATTTTATGTTTAAATAGGAATATTAATTCTTAATATTCAAAACTTCTAATATTCCTTACATCTGTACATCTTCGTCAATGGCATAACAGCCCCATGTTGAGCCAAGCCCGTCTATCTACTGGCAGGTCCCAAGACATGTGATGTTTTCTTTTTATTAGTTTATTTTTATTAGATAGAGATACGCTCTACAGATTAGGCAGGTAGCTACTGTTTTAAGTGAATTCCGAACAACCACAAGCATCCATGGTACTACCCAGACTCGAACTCCGTGGCACCGAGCTCAAGGACACTAATCACTCGGCCATCAGAATTAGCAATTGTAGTGTTTTCCATAGAAATAACGTGCAAGTATACCTAATAATTTGAGAGATTCTGCGTAATTTTCGTCCACTGCGGATATGGAATTTGCACATCGCCTTGTTGTTTCATTTACCAGCAACGTTTTAAGATGAGATAACATCTCTTCGTTGCTGTTACGCATCTTAAAGTGGCCAAAGATGAACTTAAAGATGATTATCCTGCGCAAAAATTTCAAAATGGAATATCAGATGTAATAGATATTGCTCATTCAATACATATTGTGTTAGAAAAATTAAAAATTATTTCCAATATTCTTTCGTTTACTCATATTCCCTCTGAATTTGTAGAAAACGTAATGAAAAAATCATTATTTCGCAGATAACATTATTAAGATCATTATATGAGCATTATATAACATTGTTATGATCATTATCTTAGTTAACATTAATATGTTCAACATTATTTCTTAGTATGATTAGGAAATTCCTATTACTGTAAGAGTTTTAGAAATAAATGCTGGTATTTGCGTATCCTATTTCATAACATGAAACTTGATGGTAGGGTGACTAGTGCTATGGCGCTCGGTACGACGGGTTTCAGATTAGAGTTCAGGCCGGGCGGTGGATGGGGTCGCGTGGGTCCTAGTCTAATATAACTGTAGAACGTTGAGCATAAGACTGACAAATCCTACCCAATAAAAACGAAATCATCTCTTGTCTCGAAATCTGCCAACATGCAGACGGCCTTGGCCTATCATGGGGATGTTCCGCAATAATGATGATGTTTACATAGCATCCGAAAAATTCAAATAGGCAATCTGATTTTGGCGTGAAACAATGTATTGAATTTTCTGTCAAATTTACTCTTCTTTTGAACTAGACTCTACTAATGGGAATCAGAACAATGTCTTGCTAAATGGCAGACATAAGAAATTACAAACTAGATTATAAGCAGGATAATTGGTGTAAAATTCATATTAACATTTCTTTTTCTTATCTTAGCAGAAGATATAAGAATAAGTAAGATAAAAATAAAAAAATTATATTTTATATGTAAGTCGTATTTGACATGAAATTCAATAAATTACTTATAGAAAGCACAATTGTAGAGAGATAAACTATCTCGAAATTCCTCTGTAAATTGTATATTAGAAAAACCATATGTTATATGATGATGTGTTATATTATAGTCATATATGAGCATTATATAACATACGATAAATATATTACCATTATATAACATTATTATGTTCATTATTTCTTAGTATGGTAGGACAGTCATACTCCTGTAGAATTTTGAGAGGTAAATGCTGATATTTAGTGCCTTGTTACAAAACAAACATTCGAAAAAATTCGATTCGGCAATCTGATTTTGGCAAAAAAAAAAAAGCTGAAACAATGTGTTGTATTTTCTATTGAGTTTCTTCTTTTAAACAAAACACCTTTAATGAGAGCAGAACTCATTGCTTTGATCATGCTTAACCGAAGGAATTACAACTAGTAGACTGTGAGTGGGATAATTGGTGCAGTACCTATGATTAACTTTAATTTTAAAAACTTAGTATAGATTATTGTATATTCTAGAAGAATATAAATTAGATTATCGATAGTTGTATTTTAGTATAGATTAGTTTTTTGATTATTTTATATTATTTATTTTATTAGAAGATATAGAATAAATAAGATATATTCGAGTAAGATAAAATATATATATATATTATGTAAGTGGCATTTGACATGAAACTCAATAAATTACTTACAAGCACAATTATTGACGTATGCCTATCTCCAAAACCCACCCCTGTAAATCTCTTGTATAATGAAACAACCATTACTGCAATATAAATTTTAATAGCCCACATCTCGTCATAAATCTTTTGCAAGACGTTTTATATTTCGGACGATATACTCAATCGAATGAGACGGCTGTCAAAATAGAAAAAAAGGAAGAGAAAAAAAAAGAATGTTCCAGAGGGAGGTGTGGGAGGAAGAAAAATATACCACCCCCACCCAAAGTGGTCGAACAACCGATATCGGTGAAGAATGAGGGTTGGATAGAGTTGTTGCCACCGGAAAGTACGACGGGAGGGACGGTGGGGGGTGGGGGGAGGGGTCGAGACGTAGATGAGGGAAGGAGCAGAAGATTGATTGAGAATAAAGTGTGGAACAGTGCTAGTAAGAATTTCCTCGTTCGATTTTCGCGGTTTGATTGACACTAACTGTCGCGTGAGGTGGGGGGCGTGTGTTAAAGGATTGAGAGTAATCGTTTGATTGTGTAAAAAGGAGTTGATAGAGGGTGAATTAAGGAAGCAGTGCTGATGAAAGCAGGAGTAGAGGAATGTGTGTTTGGGGAGAGGGGAGGACTTTGAAGATGCTCCCTTTAAAGTTGTCAACTAAAAGAAAACAGCTGACAGGGCTTAAGGTTAAAAATGCTATCTTTTTGTTTTACGGAAATGCATCATATATTTTGTATAAATGTTGCAAGACAAAAGATGAATAAGTGTTACTGTTTCTAAAAATATTAATGTATAAAATGACAAAAATGATTTATTACTCGCTTGACCAAAATATTTTTGAATGGAAGAGTAAGTTCAATATAATCTCTTTTATAAAAAGTTTAATTTTTGAAACGAATGAATTAATGATAATTTTTGCGTATATATTATTTTTCCTCCACTTATATTAAGGTATTGTTTTTTTAATTTGCTTTTTTTTTTTTTTTTCAAAACTTTAGAATGGTTTAGCTTTAAATATTTAATTGTCTCAACCTTTGGAAATAGATGGATCATAGTACTCTAAAATAAAGCAACTAATATATTTATGAAAAGTCAACACTTTATTTTAGTAAAAGTTAGAAATATAATTCAATTACAAATTTCTTGCACATCTTAATGGCGTATATTAGTTAATTAATAACCTTTTAAACAATCATATAAAAATTTGTAATAATTTTTGAATCGAAAGTGTATATATATATATATATATATATATATATACACGTTCGATTCAATTTATATATCTTATATTATCAATTTATATATTTATTATCGATATATTATATTTCGATTCAATATTATTCGATATTCAATTCGATTCAATTATCGATATTCCAATCTGTTTTGACAATCATATGTAGAGTTTTCTCGCCAAATACACAGAGCATATGGCTTTTTTCCAAAGATTCTGATATTTACTTCCTAATATAATTTTTTAAATAATACTTATTGATTTTGTACTTTTATGTACCTTTGATATTAAATTATTTTTGATATATATATCAAAAATAATTTAATATCAAAAGTACATGCCAACGGCCATACCATGCTGAATATACCGGTTCTCGTTAGATCACCGAAGTCAAGCATCATTGGGCGCGGTCAGTACTTGGGTGGGTGACCACCTGGGAACACCGCGTGCCATTGGCATTCACAAATTTGGGATCTGAATGGCCGAGTGTCTAGCGCTCTGGCGCTCGGTGCCACAGGTTTCGGGTTCGAATCTCGGCGGTGCCATGGATGTTTGTAGTGGTTCGGAATCCACTTTAAGCCGTTGGTCCCGGTCTCCTATGACTGTAAGAGCGTCACGGAGCCAAAGTCAGACTTCTACCTACGGGTGCTCCATCACAACAGAAGCTGCTTCCTTCCCCTTCAATCATGAGTACGTATGGGCTCGTGGGCTTGGCCAACCAAGTGGAATAAGAAACAGCAACAACAAAACAAACAACATAAAAGTACAAAATCAATAAGTATTATTTAAAAAATTATATTAGGAAGTGAATATCAGAATCTTTGAAAAAAAGCCGTATGCTCTCTGTATTTGGCGAGAACACTCTAAATATAATTGTCAAAACAGGTAGGAACATCGCTTATGTGTTTGTAACTTTCAAATAAATGACTACACAATAAAAGAAACAGATCATTTATCCCCAAAAAAAAACTACTTCTTTGATCTACCACCTCTAGTTTAAATACATGATATAATACAATCGGACATTGAGGCATATAGATTTCCTATGATGTTTTACGAATCTTGTTATAAAATTGTTAAAGCCAGGCTCTAATTCGACTAAACTGTTGCGGTGCACAGAATAATGAACCTAGTCGTTCAACAAATTTTTAGTAGGTGACAAATCTGGAAAACGGGTGGGCCGTAGAAGGTATTGCAATAAGAAGGCAATCTGTTACGCTTTGTTAATGAGTTGGATTCATGCGTTGGGGCTAATGAGTTAGATTTAGGCTTCCTGATGTAATTCTGATAACAATAAGCATTATCTGCACGCTTAAATAAACATGCATGTATAAAAATATAAGTTGAGGATATTACGAATAGGTTGAGATTATATGATGTTTAAATTTAATATTTTTGATTCTGTTTTTATTTTTGTAGAATTTGCAATTGTGTACGTAAATTTCAAATTTTAAAGTTTAGATTCTAATAATGTGTTTTTTTTTTACAGGAGTTTCCTAAGATAAACAGAAAAAAAGTCCCAAACTTCAAGGTAAATATTTAAATTTTATATGCTACATTTTGAATTGGTTATATATGTTCCTTGTTAGCTTATGAAGGAAAGTAGATTTTATTATATCAACATTACTAGAGGAACTCTACTGAGATAATCTACAAGATGTTCGGGAACTCTTCATAGAAATTTGGAGGGGAGGGGCGACAACATCTATATGAATCAGAATCTCATTAGAATACAATATCGAAAATCGATAGGTGACTCTGTATGCAATCGATTAAGTCGGTCGTTAAGTTGGATTCCTCATTAAAATCGTGTACTATGTAAGGTCAGCATTTATCGTTTCACCAATGTTGAGTTGGCTAATATTCATTTCGTGTATGACCAAACTAACTGAAGTAGACGCGTTGCTGTATGATTGTATCGGGAAACGTTTCCAAAGAGGCCCGCATCAAATCACCAAATATTAGCATCTTTGCATCAAAACTTATGTGAACTTAAATCCTTCACGGTACTAATGCTGGATTCCAGGCGGACGCAATCCCCATATTCTCGGCCACAATCATCATATTGGTGGCCGCAAAAGCATGATCATCCATACTGGTACAGGGTGCAACGTATGCTGTAGACCGAAATCTAACCAAGTAAGCTGATGTATATTGTCAATGCAATAGGACCATTTCCGAAAAATGTATGGTACTTAAAGAAGTCCAATAAGTAAAACCATAGATTCATCTGCTATGTATCTCGTTTTCATAATGGTTTCTTAGCATAAGTCCGGTCGTTCAGCAGTTTCCAAGTCGTATTCTTTTCATAAGGGTGCATTTTCTTTATACTCCCAATGAGCATAATCATTAATGTTTTACCTATTATTGTACAATGTGCTATTTTTAGTATTAATGTGCACCGTGTTATTTTGCTTAAAATTTTACTTATGGGCACTAAGCTCAACAGATCTTTTTGTTACGGAAGTGGTCGAAGCTATTTTGCTCGTTTTGCGTGCATTTAAGTACGCATGTTGGCACTTTCTATTTTCATTGATAGGCAGGAAATTAGTCTGTACCATCAAACAATGCAGACTCGACTCGGAATCCATGTTAAACTGTAGGTCCCGGTTTAATTAGCCTAAAGTGTGCACAAAATGACCGTAGAGCGACACACCAAACCACACTATCGTACTTGATATAGTAGTCAAATTATTTAACCATTTATCCATTTTAATAAATTTAATCTCACTTTGCCATTGATTTCATTAGCAAATACTTCATACAAGTGACTTAAACTGCAATGTTTAAAGCAAATATTAAATTCCAATACATCAACTTCTTTATAAAAAAAAAGGGGAACTTTTAATGGCCTTAAAATGCTCTGCATACAAGAGAAATAATCAATTTTAAGACTTTTTCATGAGGAAAGAATGTGACCAAAAGATTGAAAAAAAAAAGAATGAAAAATAGTTGTCGGAAAAGACTTTTAGAATGTCATCACTAGGCACTAAACCACTTAGAGCGAGTCCAAACTTTTGGTTTAAATCCCACAAAACCAAAAACAAATGGCTGCAACCAGCATGTGTGAATGATTAATGCTTTCTCTTTGTCCCTTTTTGCCCTAGAATTTTTCCCCAAAATGAAAAATTTTCTTCCAAAATCCCTTTTTTTTCCTTCTTCATTTCAGTTTCTTTACATTCCTCGTTATTTATTTATTCCACTTAAAACTCAACGCAGTGTTTACTAATTTCGCAAATGTGTTATTTATTATTATTTATTTTTTCCCTCTCTTTTTCCCTAATGGTGTTTTCTAATCAGATGACGTTCATTTGTTTAAATATTTTCTGCATATCTGGTGTTTTTTTTAAAAAGCCTGGGTTTTTCGAGAAAAGTTATTCTCTGAGGTTTTAAAAAGAATAGAATGTGTACCCCTTGAGGTTCAGTGCAATAATCGTTTTTCACGTGCTTGTATGACCGTTAATGCATTTTCTTAATTGTAAAGAAACATTTTTCTCTCGTAATCCGTAATTGAAAAAGTGCTTAGGATAACAGTTTTCCATTTGCGATACGGGAAATTATATTCATTTAAAACATTTACCGCAATTCCTTCAAGCCCATTGGAATTTATAATGATACCGGCGATTTTAAATATATGCTTCAAAAAGGTTCGCTGCGCGCATAAAGTTCATATGCTTTAAAAATGTATCCATTAAATTTAAGATTTCATAGTCGACTGTAGTTTATTTTATTTTATTTATTTTTATTTTGGTCAATTTAGATACTAATGCATACAAGTGCGTCTATGTGGCTGGCGCTCAGTGGCACAGATTTTGGATTCGAGTCACCGGCGGTGCCATGGATGTTTGTATTGGTTCGGAATCCACTTTAAGTTGTAGTTCCCAGTCTCACATGACTGTAGAGTGCCACAGAATTCAATCAGATTTCTTCTCACCGACATCATTCCCAAACTGTAAAAGCGCAATTCAGCTCTATGCACAGTGATATGGTGTAGAGGTGTAAAAGTAGTAGTCCAACTAACGAAACAAAATGCTGATTATCGCAAACGCCATCGAGACTCATCGGTTTTTGAAACAGTGCCTACAACAAAGCAGCCAGCGGATTGAAACCCCGCCCTAATACTCATCAACGGCGCATGTTGCCAGTGACCCACGAATTGGGTAAATTATATTAATAAATAATCTTATAACTGTAATGCAAACTATCGTAGGCGTCTTGATAGCCAGATGGCTACCGCTATAGCCTTTGGTGCTTCAGGTTCGAATCCTGGCGAAGACATGGACGTTTGTTAGAATCCAGTGGTTCGGAATCCATATTAAAACTGTAGGTCCCTGTCTAATTAGCCTAAAGTGTGCACAAAATGACCGTAGTGTGACAAACTAAACCAAATATCGTATCGTATTAATAAATTATATGCTTATACTTTTAATGTAAAGTATATAAAAAAATGTTGTTAATTTGAAAATTTATATTGTGATAAAGATGCAATTCCTTATAAAGTGCTTGAAAAAATAAATTATTTGATTAATTGTCCATTATAATAAATTTAATCTCACCTAGCCATTAATTTCATTAGAGAATACATCATATAAGCGACTTAAATTGCGACATTTAAAGCAAATATTAAATTCCAATACATCATGTTCTTTAGGGAAAAAAAAGGAAGGACTTTTAATGACCTTAAAACGCTCTGCATACGCGAGAAATAATCAATTTTAAGACTTTTTCATGAGAAAAGAATGTGACCGAAAGATTAAAAAAAAAAAGAATGAAAAATAGTTGTCGGAAAAGACTTTTAGAATGTCATCACTAGGCACTAAACCACTTAGAGCGAGTCCAAACTTTTGGTTTAAATCCCACAAAACCAAAAACAAATGGCTGGAACCAGCAAGTGTGAATGATTAATGCTTTCTCTTTGTCCCTTTTTGCCCTAGAATTTTTCTCCAAAATGAAAAATTTCCTTCAAAAATCCCATTTTTTTCTTCTTCGTTTCAGTTTCTTCGCATTCCTCGTTATTTATTTATTCCGCTTAAACTCAACGCAGTGTTTACTAATTTCGCAAATGTGTTATTTATTATCATTTATTTTTTTCCCTCTTTTTCCCTAATGGTGTTTTCTGATCAGATGACGTTCATTTGTGTAAATATATTCTGCATATTTGATATATTTTTTTTTTAAATCCTGGTTTTTCGGAGAAAGGTTATTCTCTGAGGTTTTAAAAAGAATAGAATGTGTACCCCTTGAGGTTTAGTGCAATAATCGTTTTTCACGTGCGTGTATGACCGTTAATGCATTTTCTTAATTGTAAAGAAACGCTTTCTCTCGTATTCTGTAATTGAAAAAGTGCTTAGGATAACAGTTTTCCATTTGCGATACAGGAAATTATATTCATTTGAAACGTTTACCGTAATTCTTTGAAGCCCATTGGAATTTATAATGATACCGGAAATT